GAGAAAGATAAGTACCAAATGATTTCATTCATCTGTGGAGTATAACAACAAAGCAAAACTGAAGGAACAAAACAGCAGCAGACTCACAGAACCCAAGAATGGACTAACAGTTACCAAAGGAAAAGGGACTGGGCAGGGTGGGTGGGAAGGGAGGGAAGGAGAAGGGGAATAAGGGGCATTATGATTGGCACCCATAACATAGGGGAGAGCATGGCAGTATAGCACAGAGAAGACAAGTAGTGACTCTATAGCATCTTACAAGGCTGATGGACAGTGACCGTAATGGGGTATGTGGTAGGAACCTGCAAATGGGGGGAATCTAGTAACCACAATATTGCTATGTGGTTCTATAATAATACCAAAAATTTTTTAAATATGTGGAAAAAAAGTGAGTCCCCATTACATGCCTGGCACTATCAATGTCTGTTAATCTGGAGGATCAGTGTTGAGTCATGAAAAAGTCATGTCTTTATTCAGAAGATACAGTGATTTCCAACAATGATAGCTCTCTGACAGGCTGTCCCAGAAATTTTGGTGGAGGAGAAGATGAAATTTTGATGTTTATAAAAGGAGTTTTGGGTAAATTAAAAAAAAAAAAAGATTTTGAGAAACGCACTTTTGAAATCAGGAGACTTGGGCTCTATTTCTTTGTTTCTGACTCATTATGTGGCCTTGACCAAGTCCTTGCCTTTTTATAGGCCTGTTTCCTCATCAGAAAAATCCAGGGCTACTGGATGACTCACTGACTCTAACCTGTAAAAATATTTTTCACTTACCAACTCATAGTGTTCACAATCCTGGGAGGTATAATCAAGTATAAAAGATAAAAATGAGTTTTATGTAAAATGGAAACATTAAAAAGTTATGTGCCTTCTGCTGTGTAGTTCACAGAAGGCAAATAACTCCAGATAAGGAGTCACCTTAGGTCAAACTATTTGAGCTGGAAAATTGTACTTGACTTTCTTCTTTAAGCATCGTTAACCTGTCAAAAACAGGTTGAAAGTATTTTGCTCCAAAGAGCTGATAAGATGTGACCACAGGTATTTGCCATCACTCTCCTTGTAGAGGATCCATTTTATCACAAGGAAAATCTCAAATGGTTCTGTGCTTCCAAACCCAAAACTTGAGGGGATAACCTGATAGTAACCTGACCAGATGTTACTCATGCCCCGCCAAGTGAAAGAGAAGGGTCCTAGCATGCCTCTGGAGCCCCATCACTCTTTGCCCAGACGTGAGGCTCTGCTCCATCCTATGGCTATCTGCTGTGCCCTGGAGCAAGGACACCGTCTCAACCTGTGAATTTCAACTCAGGGAATGTACACTTACAAAATGAAACATACTCCTTTGTCAAAAAGCCAAGTGGTTACTAAAGAAGGATCCTTTATATTTGAACCCTTTCCAACACAGATGTTATTTAAACTTGATACCCTCTGTACTCAAATACCAAATGGGAAGTCTCGGTGGTACAAGTTCCCCAAATTTGAACACCATTGTAAGACCTACCCCATTTTGTGCAAGGGCCTAGCACAAAGTTAGTGTCCCAATCCATGCTTGTTGGGTGCTGATCCTAATAATCCAGGTATATTCTGATGCACAGAGTATAGTTTTAGGGTCATGCATTGAAACTACCAAATTCAAGTTGTCCGTGTGATGAAAACAGAACTGGTGTGATGCCAAGGCCACATGACCCTTGTTCACATTGCTGAGGAAAAGTTAAACCGAGTTGCGTACAGTTCCCTTTGTTTTGTACGTTCTAGGGCAAAGTCTGCACTCTACTAAGCAGGCATCTCCTGGGAATTCCTTTTGGGACACTCAGTCAATTGGATTAACCACTGTATGAATTTGTAGAATTTATTAACATTCACCTCTTTGTCAATTACAATTTTCTCTGATTATATATCAGTTTTTCTGAAGACACTATCTCAGCTTTCTACCAAGCAGAAGTATTGTTGGAAGATAAGCACTTAATTATTTATTGAATTTCTATTGTGTATTCAGCCCAAGTTTATAAAGAAATACTCGCCTTCAAAGAGCTCAAAGTCCAGTTGGGAATACAAGCTAAACACACAAAACATCGGCCCATAAATAAAACCAAATGCTCGACTGTCCTGGGATTAATATAAGGACAAATTATGCAACAGTATAAGGATATTCCTATGTCATCATACCAGTGGAATATCTTTTTGTTTCAGTTATTGTCTTATCATTCCCCATTAGAATGGAAGCTCCATGAGAGAAATGTTTTTTGGTTCAATGAGTGCCTGGCATGTAATAGGCGCTCAATGAATATTTGTTGATTGAATAAGAAGTCAGGTTCTTAGAACAGAGAAAGAGAAGGTTTCACGGAGATGAGCCTTGACTTTACTACGCTTTTATTCATCTTTCTTTACACCAATCAATAGACTTTAGCAAATAACTTCTTTATATTTGAAAGAAGGAAATGTGCATATAATTCAAACAGAAAGAGGAATGGGATGAAAGAAATTTAAATTGGGTGTTAGGGTCCATGTGACCCACTTAGCTCATTGCTAAAAGGAGAGATTTATCCTAGATTTGGTGGTTTTCAAATATTGTTTTAAAGCAGGACTCTATTTTCAGGCAAAACCTCGATAAATGAGGCAGATAAAAGCAGAACTACTCTGATTGACTTTGGGGTGGCATGGAGGATGAGACAGGGGAGGATCACCTTCTTTAGTTCCCTCACCTCCACCACAGGGCTATGGCTTCTGAAGGATTCTAGGAACACAGTTGAAAACACTGGATTGAGAGAACTTTAGAGTCCCTCAAAATTCTGTTAATGGAGGCAGCTGAGAAAGTCCTGGGCCCACTTCTGGGCTCTGCCACTTTAAGCTGCAGGTGTACCAGGAATGAACTGGCCAAATGAGAAAAAAATACATGTGTAGCCTGGTGAAGGTCAATACCCCTTCTTATGATAAGACCCAGTGAACTAGAAGCCATATTTCTCTTCCCCAAGACTGATGAGGGTTAAATAACTTGTGTGACCTGGTCGTTACTCTAGCTTGGCCCCCCTTCCACACCCCACTCAAACTGAAGGTACCCGAGCTCACCTGTCAATATCTCTGGCTTCGCAGTTGATCAGAATCTTATACACAAAATAAATACTCAGTCTGACGCCAACACCCATGGTAGGAGTCCTATTCATTTGTCACCATCCTTTTCACTTGTACAGGAGGATCTGTCTTACCTGTCCAGAAGAGAACCAGCCACGCATAGTGCTCAAAGGGTAACAGAAGAGAGTTTAACGCAGGAACTATTTACCAGGGTGTGATCACGTTAAACCTTTTAGGAAACTGACAAAGAGTTGTAAAGCATCCACGTACTAGCAACAGCTGTAAGAGTTAACACCACCAGGCTTGAAAAAAACAAAGCGCTGTCATCCAACAGTTGTTGTTTGGGGAACTGGTAAAAATCCTACTCTCATTACAAATGAGGAAACTAAGGATAAGGTGAGGAACACAGGTTGTGCAATCCCTGAGGCAAGGAACTCGTTGAATTTGAAGCGTCTAGCGACAGCTGACAAGTAGTTAACAGCGAGGGGCTGGGACTACAATTCACGGAACAAGTCTCTCCACGTCTGTCTCAAACTTTTCAACCCTAGAATAAAGGGACTTCCGGAAGAATTGCTTTTCGGGACTTGTAGTTCCCTGGGTTGAGGCCGACAGCAATCTGTAGAGAGCTCATTGGCGCCCAGGTCTCCGCCCGTTTCTCGCCGCAGGACGGCGTCCCACGCACGCACATGCGGCGCGTGCCCACGCCCCCAGCCCGACACTCCACCCCCACCCCCGACAGGCCTAAGACGCAGGCGCGCGCACGCTCCCCGGACCCTGTAGGCGTGGGGGTGGGAGGAGGAGGGGAAGGGAGGGAAGGGGTTAGTGTCTATTGAGTAGACGGCAGAAGAACACAGAGAGCGCGCGGGCCTGGATGCTGGGTGGGTGAACTCTGCCCTGGGCCTAGGGCCGGCGGGAGGATCCGGAGCCAAATCTGCGCGCCCTGCGAGCGGTAACCGGGCTGCTGAGATCCGGAGGGCAGCAGGGGCCAGAGCCCCGGCCTACGCCCCGCGGAGATGTCCGGGTGCGGCGCCTGTACTTGCGGTGCGGCCGCCTCGCGGCTCATCACCTCCTCCCTCACCTCCGCGCAGAGAGGTAACGAAGTAGTCCCTCACCCGAACCATTGGCCCAGGAGTGTAGCAGTCGACGGTGGGGACCCCGGCGAAGGCAGGGGCCTACTTCTCCCCGAGGTTGTGAGGGGATGCGCAGCGCTCCGCCTGGCATCCCCCACTTTCCTCGTGGGATGAGGTTCTGCCAACCTCTGGAGCAGCTGTTTCTCACATTTGAAGTAAACCCCCCGTGCTTCCCCGCCCGCGCATATTCAGGCCTCCTGACTTTGCGGCCGGAATGTGGCCACTTCTCAAAAACCCTGAGAGCCGTATAGAACGCGCCCTTTGTTAAAAGAGTCCTCGGACCCTGCTCGGGGCTCCGCCGGGGACTGTCGGCCTTGCCCCGCGGCTTCTCTGCCGGAGCGCGGCCGGGTTCCTCTCGCCTGTCGCGGCTTCGGGAACGGCTCGGGTGAGGGGCTGCCCTTGTTGAGATCCCGCGGGACGCCGAGCCGACCGTCCCCGACGCGACCGCGCGAGACCCGCGGTGTCACTGTCACCGTGCGGCCGCTTACACGGCACATAAACAGGGCTTGTTAGTACTTCCTGGCGCCGGGAAAACCTTGGGGCCCGCAGAAAAGCGGCCGGGGAGGTTGTGAAAATTTCCTCAGAAGTTGTTTTTGAAGTGCTTTAGGTGTCTCAGCAGTTGTTTACCGGTTTTCCAACTTGACAGTCCGATGTAGTTTTAAGGGTGGCGCTTGTTTACCTTTCCTTTACTGTTTATCCGGAGCTGTGAAAGAGTGCCACTCCAGCCAAGAAATTCCGGAAAAGAAACCATTTTTCTCTTCCCCAGATATGTGAATATCAGACTACGAGACTAGAACCTGTTAGAATCACCTGATTTTACGCAGATTCGTTTTATTTTGGCTTGTCAGCTTATGACCCTTGGATAGATTTAAAAAAAAAAAAAACACCCTTTTCCTAAATTTTAGGTTAATTATAAAACCCACGGGGTTTACTAAATGTTTTCTGGCGGCTTATTTCACAAAGATTAAATAATGTGGATAAAACCATTTTGTAAAATGATACATAAATGTAAAGGAGTGAATTTAGTCCCAAGACTCTTAAACTTGAACAAGTTACAGGAAATTTGAGTTGCAAATGTTTGAAAGTGACATTTAAATTCATTCATTTTACAAACATTTGCTGAGGGCATACTGTGTGCCAGGCCCTATTTTGGTGCTGGAGGTAGAGTGGTGAACAAGTCCTCACCTTCAAGTTGAAGTAGACGAAGAATAGTATCTTTTCTGGGAGTGTGATAAAGTGCATGTATTCTCTTGAGTAAGGAAGGTTACTTTGAGAAAGTTCATCTATTCCAATCAGTTATCTCTGAAAACAATCAGAAGGTGTACGGTTATTTTTTTTCTTTTCAAACAACCTCTGCTTTAAAAATTACATCATAAGGCAAGTGACCACAAAATAATAACTTACCTATAAATTAATACAAGTATGCCAATTTTTTATAAATACCGAACCAGTTTTCACTGTAAAGAAGTAAATTAAGCTTAAAATCTGAGACATAACCCAGTATCATTATAAAATTTAATATTTTTACACGACAGTGAAACAGCAAATAGTTTTCACTTTGTTTAAGACTCGCCCAAGGCTTAATTGCACAAAACGTTTATTTTCTGTAGTAGAAACTTGAAAAGATTGTGTAAAGATAGTCTCAAAATACAGAGATTTTTCCTTCAGGGCTGAAAAAACTCCAGGAGTTTATTTTTATTTTGGATTCCTGGAAAGAGGAAGAGAGGCAAAAGAGAAAGAATCAGAATTGGACTTTAGCTAGTTTATTATCCTTAAAAACAGTAAAGAATTAAGAATTTCAGCAACATAATACCAGAAAAAATTTTCATCCAGATAATCTATTGAAATATTATACAGTGAATTAAGAATAAAAGAGGTGATTTATATTTTTGTCATGTTAGACTTTTTAAAATGTAGTTTGAAAAATTATTTGGTACATTGTTATACTATATACTGTGTCTGTTTTCTTAGGGGCTATGTGTATCCAGTTTAATGTGTTTTTCCTCACTATTCTCTTTGAATATGAAGCGTATAGTAAAGTAGAAATTTTATAAATATTTTTTTCTACCCAAATTGATAGTTTTTCAATTATGATGTATATATTTTAAAACGTACTTTGCATATGTCGCAATTTGCATTCTAAATATGTGCATTCAGAAATGCTTGACTGCATTTTTAAAATAATTCTGAATGACAGTACTCGGTTGGAATTTAGCTGTGAAAATTGTGGGATCACAATTAACTGACTTGTTTTCTGGCCGCTTTCTGGACTTGTCCATTGAAAGGGTGTCTGCCTCCTGCAGGTGTAAGTGAAGATGTGAAGATGCTCAAACATGTTGGGTGTATGTAAATTTCATGATAATTAAATAATATCCTCACCTTAACAGTTTTTTGTTAGATTCTCTCTCTCTTGATAGTTAAATACAATACGAATTAAATAAGGCCAAGTGAATTAATGAGAGAACATCTTTGTTTCTGGAATTGCAGGCTGTTTCTTAATCAACATTTCTCTTTTGTTGGTATATTTATCTTCAGACTAGCTGAATAGCCTTAGAGTCCATCAAACATTTTTTAAAAACTTGAGGAAAGTTATCATAGGAGTGATGTTATTTTTCTTTATTAAGAAGTATTCAGAATTCATGAAACAGTAGTTTGGGCATAAAATGAAATTTTGAGACTAATAAAAACATAAACATCTATTTAGTTGTCATCATTGTTTCTGTTGAATTTTTTTTTCTAATTTATACTAGAGGTTAGAGGCCAAGTATTTAAGCCAGTACTTAATCTGATTTGCCATTTAATCAATTATTACACACCCTTAAATATTGTCACTATAAACTGGTGATAATTTTTAATTTTTAATTTGTTTTTGGAGTATGCTTACTTCAAGGCTGAATATAGGAAGTCAGAAAATTGAAAATTTTGAATAAATACTCTCCTAGTTCTTAATAGCCCTAAAATTGATACAAAATTACTTCAATATTTCTTTTAAAAAATTCCTGTTTTGAAATTAAGAGACCTTTACAACAGAAGGTTTCTAAATGGTTTAACTTTTAACTGTTTTCTCTCTTTGCTGCCAAAGTTTTTTTTTATATTCTTTTCACTTTTCTTTTTTTTTTTTTTTGTTTTTTTTCTTTTGTTTTTCTTTTTTCTTTAGTGTCCAGAGATAGATAGAATTCAGAGATTCTGTAAACTTTGTTTTCACTAATCTTAAACTGAAATACAGCATTTCCTTCCATTACGAATGTAAGCAACAAACCAGAGTAGTAGTAGCAGTATCTGAGAATTTTTTGCCAATTAAAGACACAAATATTTTCATATCACATTACCAATTGCAGATATCTTAAAATATTTATGCTTTTCACTACTTTGAAATCATGCTAGTTATTTTAAAAAGCTGTTAGATCTTAATTGAATTTTGCTTGTTAATAAACCAATTTTTAAAGTATTTTGATAACTATTTCAGTATAATTGGATAGTGTAACCACTATTGTTACATATATACGCTATACACTTGAAAACATTAGTCTGAGACGCTTCATCTGTAGGCTTTCCCAGACTGTCAGAGGAATTCGTGACAGAGGATGAAAACTGAATTGTTAGCTGCAGTGATCTCAGTGGAGATTTCTTACACTTGGGGAGTAACTGATAACCTGTTCAGCACAGTGGTTTAAGGAGGTGGTCCCAGACCAGCAGCATCAGCATCGCCTGGGAACTTGCTCAGGAAATGCATTCCTGAGTCCCAGACCACGGACCCTCTGGGTGAGAACCGGGAGACCCCCTACAGCCTGTGCTGTAACAAGCTCGCTTGGTGGTTCTGATACACACATCTGAGAATTGCTGGTTTATGGCCTCTTGTTGGCACAGCCTATATATTACAGAATGTTAAAACAGCACTGAAGTACCCTACCTTCAGGGCCAGCAAAAAAATGCTTCAATTTAGAAGTTTTAAGTAGCATGAACATGCTTCTCAGCATGCTCTGTAGTGACTGGCTGCATTGGTTTCATAAGTTACTCACTAAGCTATTTAAGATGAAGGACTTATTTTTCTTTCTATACTTAGACTTTAAAAGGTGGTATTCATAATTTTCATTTCTCTTAAATTCCTGAAAGTAATTTACTTTCAGCTTATTTACTAGTAATGCTAGATATAGTAAATTGTTAAACACTATTTTTAAAGATCTATTTTATTGTACATGGGAAATAATACACTGTATGGGATACTTCAGTGTTAAGCTTTGTTTTCAATATCCAAGTGTAAATAGCCTCACATAAAGCTTGTAATGGTTTAATTAAAAAATTATATTTGCTACATTGATTATAATAATTGTATTATGCAACTACTCATTAACTGTTTTCAGACACACAAGATAGAACAGTGAACACCCAAATACCCATCATCTGTCTTAAGCATCCATTGACTTTTCTGCGTACTTGATTTATCTATACATCCCCTAGATTTGCCTTTTTTTCCCCCAAATATTCAGGTTTGATAGTGTTAAGCAAAATTTTACAGTCCATAGTTTAGGGACTGGTATGTCATAAGCATTATTATTTTTTTAGTGTTTAGTGAATTTATATAGGGATGAGAAAATTTGTCTCTCAATTATGTTTCCTGAGAAGTTTGGTCAGTTCATTTTTGTACTTGTGGAACTGCAGATAGCTTAGGGTGATAACTGAAGAAACTCATTTAAACAGTACACAAGTGTGTTGGAAAATTGGGAATTAAAAAAGTCATATAACTAAGCAATTGTTTTTTAATTGTTCCAAGGGCATAATTTGAAACCAAGTTTTGCATTTGGCTATAATATATACATATGTGCCTGATCTCTTAAAAGCCCTAACATATGTAGAAATAAAAATTTTAAGCTTGAGTTGAGAATTTTGTAGGGAATGAAATGAGGGAGGCAAAATCAGTTTCTTAAACTTAAAAAGTATTAACTATACACCCACTGCCCCCATCCTTTCTTTTGTGGCTTCTTGCTTCCTAACAGTACTCTGGTAAACTGCTGGGTAGCCTTCTTCCTAGTGATTCATTAATGTATGTTAGCTTATGCAAAGTTCTGAGTAACCCTACAGTACTGAAATCTATGGAATTTTGTTTAACATAGAACAGTTCCATTTTCTTGCATAAGGAGCATTCTTTTTAAAGACCAGCTTAGGATATGCTGCTTCTCTGTATACCATATGGTTCTGTTCCATTGAATAAAATTTATTTGAGGGCTTATTTTGTATTTATATTAGAAAAACCAGGGGTCAACAAACAACTTCAGGAACTAAATCTGGCCACACCCATTTGTTTGCATTCTGTTTGTTTGCTTTCACATTATAGGCAGAGTAGTTGGGACTGAGACTACACAGTTCATAAAGCAGAAAATACTGTTCTAATCCTTTACAGAAGAAGTTTGCCAGGAAAGTTGCTAATTAACAATGATATAAGAATTTTAACTTTAAATATGGTAAAAGGTTGAAATCTTTGAAAGGATAGTGGTTACACAGTATCTACTCAATTTCTTTTTTCTATACAATTGAAATAATTTCATTAAAATACATTTTAATGAACAACACATAACTTTAAAGAACATTTGAAGTTTGTTTCCATTGTTGCAGATATTACCTCCATATAACCAAAGAGATAGACAGGCGTTCATGTCAATTGCTTATCTCATTGGCAGAAATAATATAGATGTAAATGGCCTTTTCCCCACTATAAGCGAGGCAGATGTTGAGCTGTGTACCTCTCAAACTTTGAAAGAGCCACTCGTTATTCCTTGGGTGGTATTCCTCACTCCAAAGGACAGGTCTGGAAATCTGAGGGAGGCCCAGGTCTGACCTATTTTTGAGAAGGCTCTGCCTCTGCTGGAGGTACTATTTTCTCTGCCAGTTTGTACTACTGCTGTGAACGCTATAGCCTTTTCAACTTCCTTGATACTTACGGAATTTTTGTCTTCAGGGGATTTACTGGAGGAATGTTAATATTTGACATACAGACTAATAGATTTCATTACTTTTTCAGGTATTTCTTGTGGCCGCATTCATATACCTGTTTTAGGAAGGCTTGGGACCTTTGAAACTCAGATTCTACGAAGAACTCCTTTTAGAACCTTTACAGAAACACCAGCATACTTTGCCTCAAAAGATGGGATGAGTAAAGATGGCTCTGGAGATGGAAATAAGGTATTTTATCTAATTGGCATCTATACATGGATCTGATTTCCCTCCTTTAAGCAATTAAGTATGATAATAGTACTCTGTATCCGTTGGTTTATATGTTTTCTGTAGGAAATATGAAATATATAAAATCTAAAGAATTTTATGTAATTTTATTTTGTGTTTTAGTTTGAATCATTAAAGTTTTATAAGTGTTACACTTAGTAAGCAGTAATTACATTTTCTTTCTAACACCCAAAAGTAGTTAAGATGCCTAATTGAATAATCTGTATAGTATTGAATTAGGAATAAATACCATTTCCTGCTTTCACAGAGTTCTTCCATCTCATTGTAGTATAAACTCTACTTCATCTTCTACCTGAAAATCTTAGATGCCCATATGACTTAATGTTTGGCTACTCTGTAGCCTAGCATAGATGATTCGTGATTGTATTAGATCAGTGAATATTTTCAATTTTTTTATGTGAATTAACTAACACTCAAGTGAATATTAATATGGAAGACAAAATGCCAGGTGCTTTCAGATCCACACTTAATCCTAAGAATGATTCTCTGAGTAGGTAAAATCATTCCCGTTTTAGAGATGAGAAAAGTTAGATTCAAGTAAGTTAAGAGTTATTACATGCCGTGATAGTAACTCCTGATTCAGTGCCATTGAAATGTAGTTTTTCACCTTTGTAACGTTTTTCCTAGTGTTTGAGTAATTGAAAGAAAAGTTTTTATTATACATGCTATTACATCCATGTAAAGAAGGAATACAGATAAATATTTATTTACTAGAACTGATTTTATTTTTGTGGTAATACATCTTTGACACCAGAGATAGTAGAGATATAAACTATACTAATAATTCCAAAGGTTAATTACAAACTGTTTATATTTAAATTACATATAAAATGATTGGCTGAAAGTAATAATTGACACTGTCTTATTTTTTCATCCACAAACATTAGAAATCAGCAAGTGAGGGAAGCAGTAAGAAATCAGGCTCTGGGAGTTCTGGGAAAGGTGGAAACCAGCTGCGCTGTCCTAAATGTGGTGACTTGTGCACTCATGTAGAGACCTTTGTGTGTAAGTATTACTTCTTTTATTCTTCTGTTCCCTACCTTTTCTATAAAATATTATAAAATGTATAATCATATATGAATTATATAAACCAGAGTTATTGTCTTCCTGAACTTACATGATTCTCTCGTATGTTAACTGGATTCTAAAAATCCCCAGGACTGGTAATATTTTGCATTGTGGTGTAAGAGAAAATTTAAGAACACTGTTTGCTTTTTTACTTTGCTTTCATGTGTTTAGTTTAAATTTTGATTTTGTGAGTTTTCATGTATATGACCACTAAGCTGTAGGAGAACCAAGGCTTATTATTCTGTGTGGCTTTCTCCATTCTTCAGATACCTTTTAAGCATCTCAGATAGCTAGAGAGGTCAGTCATTCAAATAGTAAGGTACTTTTCTGTCTTTCAGTACATACCAGAGGAGCTAAACCCGTAATTCTAGGAAGTGTCTGGTAATTATTAATCATTCAGATGCTAAGAGAAGGAAGAAATCAACAGTCCTACATTTGCTGTATGGTCAGTAATTCTATGACAGCATGCAATGATGCTATTACAGATATTTTGCTTAATAAATCAAATAACTCATTTCCTACACGATTAGAGTTAATGGTAATGACTCAAGAGTAAATTACATTGCACCACCATGTCAGCCTTCCTATATAATTCAGTTGTGAAAAGGTTGATGGTCAGGTTTGGCAGAAGTTTCAGTTTCTGATGATTGGCTGGAGAGGATTTTCTATATTCTAACCCAAATATTGAGACTTCAGTTTCACATTTATCGTTAAAATGAGTTGGCCACCAAATGAAAAGTACTATGTGTATTGTAGTCTTTAGAGTTTGGAAAGACTTTTAAAGTAGTTCCATTCTACAGCTGGTATGTTCTCTTCCTGGTTGTGCCTAGTAAGAGGTGAAAAAGAAAAACCAGTCTGAGTGAATGTTAATTTAGATCATAACATAAAATGAAAGTGGTGGAACTGAATGACATAACTTCTAAATAACATTTTCCATTAACAAATTTGGTGTGATATAGTAAAATTCTAAGAAGTCTGAGAAATGCTCAATTCATAATGGCAGTGTCATAGTACATCTATTTTAATCAAAGTATTTTCCCTTTTTTTTTCCAGAAAAAGATTTCAATCTTTATAGACCTAAAGAATAATTTCTTAGAGTAGAAAAGGAAAAAATCACTAATGTTTAATAAATGCCAGTGTGTATAGTTTTATTCTCATAATCTTACTTTTGTCAGGATGGAGAATATCCTCATTTTTATATATGAAGAAGCTGAGACTCAGCAAGTTTAATTCATTCATTCAAAGTCCCAGAGCAGTGAAGATTTGCTATTCAGAAGTTCCTATCCCATTTTTACCAACTAGAATTCTTAGGGATAAACTAGATCCTCTTGGGATTAAATTTATTTTTCTTTTATGCAGTGTTTTCAAAACTTGCAAGGTTGTATTAATCACTGAGGGTAATTGTTAAACATACAGATTCCTTCTTCTCTAGAGATAAGATTCTGTAGATGTTGGGTGGTGACCTAGAATCTATGTAACAATGAGACCAAGTGTGAAAAACAGTATTTAGAGTGTATCAGATCTCCTCAAGGCTGAGGTCTCTTTCCTGTGGGAAGTCTAATTGGGAAGGGTATGTGGGAATGACAATGTGGAAGAAAAGAGTAAGAGTACATACTTATACATAATTTATTCAGTAAGCAAACATATATTGAGTCAGACATTCCTAGGCTCAGAAAATACACAAAAACATGACACTGTCCCGCCTCTGGAGCTCTACTGCGTAGGAGTAATAAGCCCCAACAATGAATGTAGCCCCTCCTCCCTTGGTTTTGTTGATCCATAATAAAAGTCTCTTCACTATGCATCTCTTTTGAATGCCAGGATCTTCGGTGTCTGTTCATTGTAAATCATGTCATCCTATTCTAAAGAGTTTTATTTGATCTCAGGTTATTCATTTTGTTTGAATCTGCATTTATGTAGTTATTAGTTCATAAACATCTTTTTATATGCATTTTGGTCACTTGTAGTTCTGTGAATAGACTGTTGAGGCAATTGTCCATGTTTTTATCATTTTGAATTATTTTTAATTACCTGAGGAATACATGTGTGTTATCCCCCTTTGGAAAAAAAGTATAACATTATAGGCAAAGCTAAAGATATAATTCCATAGTATATCTTCATCAAACATACACTTTTAAAGCATAAATGGTATATTGTTTATGTTTTTGCAAACTGCTTTTTTCTTTTCCAAACTCAGCGATGTTTTGAGAGAGATGTATGTTAATACATAATGTGTACAGGTCTAATCCTTTGCTTTAAAAATTTTTTTAACTTTTTGAATTGAGATATCATTCACATATTATAAAATTCATCTTTTTATCACATACTATACAATTCACCTTTTTAAGTTATACGTTTCAGGGGTTTTTAGTATATTCACCAGGTTGTGTGATCATCACCACTGTCTAATTCTAGAACATTTTCATCACCCCAAAAAGAAACCCCATAACCCTTAGCAATCACTTTCTGTCCCTTCCTAGCTCTGGCAACCATTAACCTACTTGCTGTCTACGGATTTTGTCTCATTCTGTTTATATTTTATATAAATAGAATTTACATTTCATATAAATGGAATTATACAATATGCATCACTTTTGTTTCTGGCTTCTTTCACTGAGCATGTTTTCAGGGTTCATTTGTGTTATGTATACTTCATTGGTTTTTGTGGCTGAATAGTATTCCAGTGTTTATCCGTTCATCAGTTGATGGACATTTGGGTTGTTTCTACTTGTTGGCTATTGTGAATAATGCTACTGTGAACATTTGTACAAGTTTCTGTGTGTATGCGCTTATACTTCTTGGGTTGTATGCTTAGGAATGGAATTGTTGGGTGAAATGGTAATTCTTCATTGAGCTTTTTAAGGAACTACCAAACTGTTTTCCATGGAGGTTGTACCATCTTACAACCTGACTAGCAGAGTGTAACGGTTCCAGTTTCTTCACATCCTCTTCAACACTTACTATCTTTTTTATTGTAGCCATCATAAGGATGTGAAGTGGTATCTCACTGTGGTTTTGATTTACATTTCCATAGTGATTAAAGTTGTTAAGCAACTCTTTATGTGTTTTTTGTATATCTTATTTGGAAAAAAGACTGTTTAAATCCTTTGTCCATTTTTAAAATAGGTTATCTTTTTATTGAGTTATAAGAGTACTTTATATATTCTAAATGCTAGACTCTTATCCAGATATAAGATTTGCAAATACTTTCTCTCATTCTATGGATAGTTATCTGCTTTTAAATGCTATATAGCAGGAATCAGCAAACTTTTACTATAAAAGGCCATATAGTAAATATTTTAGATTTTGTGAGCCATATGGTCTCTTGTTGCAACTATTCTCCTTTGCTGTTACATTGTGAAAGCATCATAGACAATGAATGAGCATGGCTGGGTTCCAATAAAATTTTGGACATGGAAATTTGAATTTCATACAACTTTGTCATTTTTTTTACAAAATGTAAATACTGTTCTTAGCTCATGGACCTGCTATATATAGTCCATCTTGCAAGTGTATTTTTAGTGATCTTTATGTTTTCTTACCGTGGTATTACTCTTGCTTGACTTTGTTAAATAAAATGCCGTTTTTATAGATGCTATTATGAATATATAGAAAATCCTCAGAAATTGAAATAATCTAAGAAATGTTTTATTTTAAGGACTAATATATATTATTCCTTAGTTTTCTTTTGCCCCTTTAAAAAATAACTTGTCAAACATGAATAGTCTCCCACTTTTATTTAAGGTAAAGCTGTTAGTTTATTTTTAGTGTGTATGATACTTTTTTGAAGGCTTATTACTTAACATGTTTTGTAGTAGGTATTAAATTTTTCTATAATGGTGTGGAGATTTTATGTTGACCTTGAAGTTAACCCTAAAAAAATAACCCAGGTTACCCCTGAAAATTGTTAAAAATCTTGAAGAACTTTCATTTAAGCAAACCTCTTGAAAAAGTTTTTTCTAAGGTAGTCTTTCTGTTGTGGGCATACCATATAAGCATGGTATGGATCACTATTCTGTATACAAAGTAATTTAGGATATTTGTAATAATCATTTTAAGGAGAGGTTTATCCCCTGTTAATTTAACAAAATTAGATTTTGCCCCTTGTTTTTAGGAGCAAAAAATATGCATTGCAATACTTGCATTTTTTTTCCCAAAATAGCACTTTGATAAATAAAAGTGAAGTCTTGAATTTGGGTGTATATTGAATGTGTTTCAATACAAAATTGCATTATAAATATTCACATAGAATTTAAGCACCCCTTCAAAAGTAAGCAAAGAGGGATGTGATTTTGTTGGTGTTTAATCTCTTTCCATGTGACCTAATTTCATTAGAGAAATATTTTGTGCTTGTGTTCTCAGCCAGATTTTCCTGTCACACAGCCTGAACTAGATTAGAGGCTTCCCTGCTCTTTAACCCTTGCCCTGTTTACCGTCAGTAACAGTTGAAAGTTGGTGCTTCATTATAAAATAAAGTCATTGACTATCTGTCCCAATGATGGGAAATGGTGATAATGTATTTGGACTTGTCTTAAAGGTACTTGGAACAGCTTGATCTTTTTCTTTAGGTAAGCATTTGTAGGTAGTCAGTAAGTAGAAAATATGGATGGTTCCTCTTCTAGTTTAAATCTGGGTTCCAATAAAATTTTGGACATGGAAATTTGAATTTCATACAACTTTGTCATTTTTTTTTACAAAATGTAAATACTGTTCTTAGCTCATGGACCTGCTATATATAGTCCATCTTGCAAGTGTATTTTTAGTGATCTTTATGTTTTCTTACCGTGGTATTACTCTTGCTTGACTTTGTTAAATAAAATGCCGTTTTTATAGATGCTATTATGAATATATAGAAAATCCTCAGAAATTGAAATAATCTAAGAAATGTTTTATTTTAAGGACTAATATATATTATTCCTTAGTTTTCTTTTGCCCCTTTAAAAAATAACTTGTCAAACATGAATAGTCTCCCACTTTTATTTAAGGTAAAGCTGTTAGTTTATTTTTAGTGTGTATGATACTTTTTTGAAGGCTTATTACTTAACATGTTTTGTAGTAGGTATTAAATTTTTCTATAATGGTGTGGAGATTTTATGTTGACCTTGAAGTTAACCCTAAAAAAATAACCCAGGTTACCCCTGAAAATTGTTAAAAATCTTGAAGAACTTTCATTTAAGCAAACCTCTTGAAAAAGTTTTTTCTAAGGTAGTCTTTCTGTTGTGGGCATACCATATAAGCATGGTATGGATCACTATTCTGTATACAAAGTAATTTAGGATATTTGTAATAATCATTTTAAGGAGAGGTTTATCCCCTGTTAATTTAACAAAATTAGATTTTGCCCCTTGTTTTTAGGAGCAAAAAATATGCATTGCAATACTTGCATTTTTTTTCCCAAAATAGCACTTTGATAAATAAAAGTGAAGTCTTGAATTTGGGTGTATATTGAATGTGTTTCAATACAAAATTGCATTATAAATATTCACATAGAATTTAAGCACCCCTTCAAAAGTAAGCAAAGAGGGATGTGATTTTGTTGGTGTTTAATCTCTTTCCATGTGACCTAATTTCATTAGAGAAATATTTTGTGCTTGTGTTCTCAGCCAGATTTTCCTGTCACACAGCCTGAACTAGATTAGAGGCTTCCCTGCTCTTTAACCCTTGCCCTGTTTACCGTCAGTAACAGTTGAAAGTTGGTGCTTCATTATAAAATAAAGTCATTGACTATCTGTCCCAATGATGGGAAATGGTGATAATGTATTTGGACTTGTCTTAAAGGTACTTGGAACAGCTTGATCTTTTTCTTTAGGTAAGCATTTGTAGGTAGTCAGTAAGTAGAAAATATGGATGGTTCCTCTTCTAGTTTAAAGTTTGCATCTAGAATTTATCCAGAATGTATTTTTAATTTGCCTTGGGTTTAAGAACAGACACATAAGAATTAAATTGATTGAGTTAATGATTAAATTAATTTTTTAAATGTGGAATCGTCTTTTTAAATTTTAGATGATTTTGTGAAGATTATGTGTGCTTGCTAGTGCAGTTTTTCTTTTAATTTGTGGATAGGTAGTTAAAATAGTTCCAAAGGAGAGAGATCCCATAGTTTAAAATTTTCTTTTTCTTTGCAGTTTTGCCAGTTCAGTTAGGTTACACAAAGATAACACAAAAAACTTAATGCCTAGACCTACCAACATGTAACTAATTCCTGTGTATTTTATGCTGTGTGTCTCTTAAAAATGTATGTGAAATTCTGTACCCTGCTGCTTGCTGAGGCTCCTGGTTACCATTAGTAGGAGTAGCCTTGGAGAACATTTAAGAATATATATCCGTATGTCTACATCCAACAGTTGTGTTTTAAAAAGAGAGAAAAGAAGAAATCACCTTTGGTTTAACACTATATTCTATAGCTAATGCGTTGGAATTGAGAGACCCTTTTACTCCTGACTTTTAATTACCCTTGTGTTGTTTTCAAAAGCTGTATGATTATTTTTAAGTCAATATGACTGAGAATGTTATTTTGTTAGTTTCATAGTGATTTCTAGGTTAAAGAAATAGGTATTAGTGGAGTAAAGATGAAAATAAGGAAGGTATGAAATAATTTTATATATTTAACCAAGTCAGAGTTTTTTGAATGTCCATAAGTTTGAAAAGAACTTTTTACATTTTGAGGGACTAAAATTGATTTCTCTCTTTCAACTTTTGTGTTTGAAATTTTTCATAATAATATGTTGGAAAAAGAATAATTTACTTTTCACAGTTCATTCAAGTATTAGAAAATAAATGATTATTTTATATTCTTAGAGTGGTGTTTCTTAAAATTAATTTTAGTGAATGAGAAGTTGAATCTCAGTCTGTCTTGCCTCTTATTAAAGAAGTATGTCACAAAGTGAAAGATCTAGTAGAAATAAACCAAATGTAGTTTACTAAACTCATTTATCTTTATCACTAGCTTAGGTGTAAGCTAGGCTGTTTATTATGGCTAATGAAGTGACTACAAGCCTACTTTTTGTCAAGTACATGGTTTTCATTTACATTGAGTCTTTAAGGTTAAACACTATTTGAATTATTTCTTTTTCTTTAATGACTTTCTTTCCTTTTGCAGCTTCCACTCGTTTTGTGAAATGTGAAAAATGTCATCATTTTTTTGTTGTGCTATCTGAAGCAGACTCAAAGAAAAGCATAATTAAAGAACCCGAATCAGCAGCAGAAGCTGTAAAATTGGCATTCCAACAGAAACCACCTCCTCCCCCCAAGAAGGTATAGGTCTTAGCTCAGTCTTATCAGCATTTTATCTTGAAGAAACATCATTGCTTCCACCTCTTACCCCATTTATGTTGGATTCTAATACTAGCATATAAACAAGTATTTTAAGTTCATAATATGGACTAGCTTGTTATTGATATTTGATACTTGGAATTTAGGTATGGACACCATTGCTGTTTTCCCATGTTATCATTACTGCATTCAGTAGCAGTGAAATACAGTTGTATGATTATTAAAATAGCATTAATACTAAATTGATCTAAAATGATATCCAAAGAATTGAGCAGTTATGGGCTTATTTTTGTTAGTTTGGGCCCCTAAATAACACCAGCCTACAATTTCCCCTTTTAGATTAGTCTGCTTTATAGTAAAACAGCCTCAGTCTAACAGTCGAAGCAAGCAGTTTTTTCATGGCCAGTGTGCCTGGACTCTCCTGTATAGCCCTTTTGTGGCTTTTGTGGCATGGGCTCTTTCCAGGAGTCTCAGATATGGTTTGGCCACATGAAATACAGCGTGTACCACCAGCTCCACTGGGTACTTGATGTGCGCTTTCTGAGAATGGCAAGCCCTGCTCCTGGGCTGTGTGCCCTTTGTCCTGGCCGTGTCTCAGATATTGTATGCACCCTTAGGTGATTTCTAACCTTCTGCCTCAGTGTAGTTTTCTTCTACTGTGTTTGGATACCAGTGTATTTGTCTCTACCTCCAAATGCACTGTGGCAGAATTAATAATTGATGGGTGTAATTTATGAGGAAAAAGATGATTTTTAAAAAAAACATAGTAAGATATATATGGTCAAGAGGTAAAGAATGTGTCATGTACAAATAATGGAAAATATAGCTATTAAAAAGCTTTATATTTTCCATTAATTTGTGTAGACTTTAGACATCTGGTCAAAGTTTGAGAAAATAAATAGGCAATTTAACTATTTTCAGCTAGTAGATATTAAGAATTTCTGTTGACTAAAAGCTGAAGGAATTTACCCCAGGTTCCAAACTGTTGGCAATATTCAAGTATTGAATAGAGCTTTTGTTTCTGAGAATAAAGTTTTCAGAATGCCATTTAGATAAATGAGTAACTTCAGAGTTAGTACCTGAGGACAAAGTAAATGTTTGTGAGTTTTAAAACACATAGATACTGGTAGTGTAATGGCTTTTGATTATGGAATGCCTATTTTTGAAAAGGGTAGTTGTAAAATTCATTATTTTTTTGAAGAATATTATTCATATGATTGAGAAATTATTTTAATGATTTACATTACTGATGGTACCTTTAGACCTGTGATGGTATGTGTAGGTACTCTAAGTAACTTTAATACTAACTTCTAAAAATTAGGATCAGTGAAAGAAACTGGCATAGCACTAGAAGGGTATAGTGATACTTTGTTAGGCTAAAGAACAAAAGAATTGAGTTTTTGTCTATTTAGAGCTTGGGGGCCTCTGTATCATTGCCACATAAGGTATCATGCCCTTGGCTTTTTGTTTTTGGTGAGAGTCTATTCAAATTTAAAACTGTAAACAAATATGCTCAGTATATAACTTTTCAATGTATGTGTTTTTATGATAGATCATAGTGCATTATCCATATGTAATCATTTTTCAGATTTATAACTACCTCGACAAATTTGTTGTTGGCCAGTCATTTGCTAAGAAGGTGCTTTCAGTTGCTGTGTACAATCATTATAAGAGAATATATAATAATATCCCAGCAAATCTGAGACAGCAAGCCGAAGTTGAGAAGCAGACATCATTAACACCTAGAGGTTAGTGTTTTGATGATTGATCAACTTAGAGATACATGTTTTTAAAAGTAATCTTTATTTGCAACTCTTTTCTTTTGTCTTGAAATGCTTTTGTATAGCATATCATTTTTCAAAGTACAGGTCACTTCCCATTAGTGGATAATGAAATCATTTTGGTAGATTGCCAACATTTTTTTGAAAAAGTGAATAGATGTGAGTAGAAAATACCAAAGTACATTAACTTATAGTTAAGAATTGTTTCTTGAAACTTTTGAGTTATATGTGCATGGGTTCTGAGTCAGAGTGAAATGCATTTTTTTTTACCAATGGTCTCAGTAAAAAATTTGTGAAAGTCACTGGGGTAGAGGTTGAGACACCATCTTGGAATTGTAGACTACAGCTAGTTTCCCATGACCAGATCCTTGCCCTAGGTCAGAGGTAAATGGAGACAATAACTCTTACAGAACATATCCAAGCACTCTTTTACTGTTGGGCCCCAGCTAGAGAGCTCAAGGATAAGGGCAAATTTGTAAGTGATTTAAAGTATAATTCCTATTAATGATTGATTCTAATATACCAATATACTGTGGAATCACAAATTATCTTGTTACATTAATAGAACAATTTTTTTTAAACTATGAATAGAGTAAAATGTAAATATTTTAAGGTTTGGTTTTTTTTGGCCAGGGAGGTCTGACTTCTTACCTAGGCCTGCAGTCTATCCTTTTACATTCTTTTAGTCACCATTTTACGATTTGAAGGAGTTCTGCTAAATACTCACATTTATAAAACTATACTTTTGATTAGTTTTAATAGGTACTAAACATAAACCAACTGGCTCAATGAAGATACTTGTTTACTGGTTGAACTTACTGCAAAATAGTTATGTGGTAGTATCAGTTACTTTATTTTTAGAAAGTGTAAATCATAACAACTAATGGAAGACTTGGATCCTTTATAAGGTCCAGATAGCATTGTCTAGTCATGGAGCAAAATGATTTTTTCTGTTTCTTTCAGTGAGGAAATCAATAGTTAAGCTGTCTAGGTGCTGGAAAAGCAAATGGTTATATGGTATTTATATTATGTTTTTTTTACTTATTTATTATATTTATAGTCATACATATATTTATATTTTTAAAATTTATTATTTGTAGTATAGTTCTGTTGAAGCTTAAATTATTCTAGTCTTAAAAAAGACACCAACTCTGTATTTGACAAATATGAACATTAGCAAGTAGACAGCCATCATTAAGCATGTTTGGGTTTTTTTAAATAGGGAAAGGATGTAAAATAGATTCTTTTTAATGTGAAAAGATTAAAAAAATATGTTCTTTAAATATATTTGGAAGAGGGGGAGAAGTGGGGAACTCTGTTCCCCTGAACTAAACGAATACATACTCATGTTGCCGTTTTCATCCTCTTCCTTAGAGTTAGAAATAAGAAGACGGGAGGATGAGTACAGATTTACAAGTAAGTAAGACCTCAAGTCTTCCTCTGTAATCATTCTTCCTTTTGAGGTTTACCTCAGTGAAATGCTTTAGCAGCAGTAATGGTAGACATGTATTTGCTTGTGTATTATCAAGAAATGTATATTATCTAAATTTGTTTATAATACATGGTATATATGATTTTGGAGCAGTTTTTCATAGCTAATTTGTGCAGTTTGTATATGCTGGGTTATTTAAAACATTTGATTTTATACTTTCTGTTGCAATGTTTTCTAAAGTTAATATAGAGAAAAAGTGTTATATATAGTTTTCCTCTATAAGGGTAGACCTCCACATTAATAGTTGTATTTTAAAAAATCTGTATTGCTGTTTTCTATCCTTTTTTTTGCCATGCAATTAAAATTAACCTCCCTGATAAGTGACAGAGATTTTGGGGGAGGCAAATTATCTTCCAACTGCTCTTTGCCAGAAACCACACTCATTATTTTTTTGGTGTTTATGAAACTTAATATAGCCTCACAAATTATGAATAAGTTTGATACTTTTATATCTGCCTTGTCTTTGAACCAAGCAGTGTTCTGTAATCTACTATTTAAAGTGTGCTGTATATACACAATGACTAGTTTTCTATCTCTGGTATGAGATTTATTACATATAATAAAATTACATTATCTCTATTTTTAAATTGTGTGGAAATAGTGATTATATCATGCATGGTACAATTAAGAAATACAGCACAGTAGAATTAAATTATGTAAGAATGTAAGATCTAAATAACAAACTTTGAATGTATAATTTATGTTTTAAAATCCAAGGGTATAATTAAATACTTAACACTATATTCATAAATTTGGGCAGACAGCTAGTGAAGCTAGGAAGAATTTGTAAAGTCTGTAGTGAATATTTTGAAAGAAATATATGTAGCGATTTAATGTAATTTAAATGTTAATATTTAAGAATTTAGGTAAAAGTAATTTAAATTGTATATATTGAATGACTTGGAAATTAATATTTTGAAAGCTTAACTAGAATTTATTTCTATGTATAGTGACAAGTCCTATGTGGCATTTTAGGTTTTAAAGTTAGGGCATCTGGCCAAAATCATAGATAATCAAAATAGTATTAAAAGTTCCTTCTGGAAATCACATGCCAGAGACCAAAGACTGATGATTTATTTCTCCATCATTGGAACATAATGTTTTACTTAAGTTGGTATTAGATGAAATGGCTTACATTTAAGAGCTAAGTTATACAAATACTTAAGCATAAGGAAAATAGCAATGTTAATAGTAAGTTCTTCTATAACACTGAACAAAACTATCTGCCAGGCACTGTTCTAAGTGTCTTACATATGTTAACTCATTTAATTGTCCCAAATCTATGAGATAGAAGCTGTTATTTTCACCTCTATTTTACAGATGAGAAGCACAGTAACTTTAATTTGTCAGGGCCACACAGCAGATGAGCTCCATGCAGCTAATCACTATGTTAGCCTGCTCGCTCATAGTCCTCATCTTAGGGAGCTGTTTATGCATTGAGAGATATGTAGGAACAGAAACAAACTGGAAGAACAGAAGAGTTATATCATTTACTAGGGGGCATATTTTAATAAAGTGGAATGACAATCGTCTACACTATTTAAATTATTCCTTTTTTTTTTAACTTAAATCATAAAGTTAAATACATGTATCATGTGGCTCCATTGTAGTTAATATGCTTCTTGGAATTTTGTTCAAATTATTCACCTAAGTCATTTCTATCCAATTGAGACCCACACTTGAGCCAGGCCCCTTCCTATATTATCACAATTCCTAACTAGATTTTGCTAAGTTAAAAAAACAGTTTTCCTAGGGACAAGTAGCTAACTAAATGAAATCATATAGGAGACAGCATTTTTTTCCCCGATGTGGTTTATAATGAGTCATAGCATTTTGAATTATTCACTAACTCAGAATGTAGCACAAATTAATTAAATTAAAATGTTTATTGAATACATTATTATTTTTGATGACCAGAATAACCTTTTATCTTATGTGTGACCTTGAGGTAGTTTGAGAGTGACAGCCAGGTGGAATTAGGACCAGAAAAATAGTTACATCTGCTGAATATCTGTTGGTTAGATTAATAATAATGCATTGGAAAGTTCAGATATTCTTAACCCATTTATTAGAAACAACCTAAAAATAAATCCAGAAGATACAAAAAGATATAAGCACAGATATTTCAAATGCTGAGAACCATGAGCAATATAAAAAATTTACAAATATGGATAATTGAAAAGACTATTGGAATTCTTTCATTTATCTAAGAGTGAGAATAAATTTGTTGTTGTTTTTAGGGACCCAGATGATAACACCAGTAATATCAGTCCTACCTAGTTAAGCATTGTATCTCTAATAAAAGTACTAGAAAGATACAGTTGAGATCCTATAAAGTGAGAAATTCAGATAGGACCAAGGATAGTGAGTCTTTCTATATTTGGTTTCTCTGATAGACTCACAGAATAATTTTTAGATATGAAAGAGACTGTAGAGGCCATTTATCTCAGCATTTTTACTTTATTGGTAAGGAAGTAGGCCCGATAAAGTTAGGTGATTGCGATGGTCCTACAGCTACACAGCAACAGAACTGAGACCAGAACCCAGGCTCCCTCTTTCTCAGTTCAGTGTCTTTCCCTTTTTTTACACCCCTGATTCTTTTCATTTGTACTGAAAAAAATAATATACCTTCACTTGTCTTTCAAAGTGCCTCCAAATCAATTGCATTTTATTCTTAAACCTAACCACGTATTTGAAAATGATAGAACAGATAGTATTACCATTTTATAGGTTAGGAAACAGAAACAAAGTTTATATGACTTGCCCAAGATATACAGCCATTTAGAGACAAAGGAAGGACCAGGCTGAAGCTTTCGGACTCCTAGCACTGTCATCCTTCCTTTATGCTGCCGTTCCTTGGTGGAAGGGTATTCCTCGTACTGGTTTACATAAATGAGGAGGGTGAAAAGAGCACACTTTTGCTTGAGATTCCCTGAATAATCATTGTGTGTTATACATTTGCACTAGATAATTTGAGGTTTCCTTCCTTTTTAAGTAAGACAGAATGTCAAAATATTTAAATTTTTCTAAATATGTGATTGGCTTTTAGATGTGGAGTTTTACTTGATTTGATTCAAGTAAAATCAAATAATGCTCGATTAATTCCTTTGGCATTTTTTTCCAGAATTGCTTCAGATTGCTGGAATTAGTCCACATGGGAATGCTTTAGGAGCATCAATGCAGCAACAGGTAAATCAACAAATACCTCAGGAAAAACGAGGAGGTGAAGTATTGGATTCTTCTCATGATGACATAAAACTTGAAAAGAGTAATATTTTGCTGCTCGGACCAACTGGGTCAGGTAAATAACTTCCTGAAAACATTTACTCCTCATCTAGAAAAATAGAATATAAATGATTCTGTAGCCTATGTCTTGTGACTGGGGGACTCTGGTTCTTGAACAGAAAATCTAAGGCCAGTCTAATAGATACATTAAAACTATTTCTTCAAAGGCTCCAAGTTGAATTGGTGGCATTGGTTATTTGCCCTTAAGGCCAATCCCTAACATCTTCGCAGAAATAATAAAAATAACATACCATTAGATCAGAATAATAGTAGAGAATAAATGTAACAGTTAACTTTTTATTATACACTATTCAGATTTAACTTACTTTGCATTTTTGTAGAGAAGTTTTTTAACCTATTTACAGTAAACTTTCAGTTAACTGTTTCTGTTTGTAGGTAAAACTCTGCTGGCACAAACTCTAGCTAAATGCCTTGATGTCCCTTTTGCTATTTGTGACTGTACGACTTTGACTCAGGCTGGATATGTAGGTGAAGATATTGAATCTGTGATTGCCAAACTGCTCCAAGATGCCAATTATAATGTAGAGAAAGCACAACAAGGTATGTTTTTGGCATAACTTGCCTGTCTCCAGATGTAGTCTGTTGGGGAAGCAGTCTGATATTAAATAATGTAATTCTTATTTTGAATCAAGAAGTAAAATTCTGTAATTGTATAAAAATAGCTTGTTAAACATTTTCTAGCATACTTAGGGTTACAAAGTTTGCTTTGCCTTGTCAGAAGGTAGCTTCTAGAGTGAAAATAGGCCAAATTACTATTCTTTTAAATCCTTAATACTATCATTCTTTTTCCTGTTCTGACTTCAGTCCAGACACCTACTGCTGGTATAGGGTGGAGGAGGGAGCAAGCACAAGGGCAAGAGAGTGCAGTATGAATGTGTAAACAGATTGGCCTGTTGACCTATAGGGTGTCAGAGATGTTGCATTCCTCCTTTCCCCATCTATCATCTGTCCTTGTTTACATGAATAGCTTGACAACTCCCTATCCAAATTACTTTAAGACAAGGATGGAGGTGGGAAAGAATAAAGTTTTTGCCTATACCTCATCTTTTATACCTCCTGCTTCCACACTATATGCTTCTATCTCAGCTTCCTAGAAGAACCTGAGAACAGTGAGGTAGGTAACTATTGTTATCATACCCAACTCATACTCTATAAAAGAAATTATAAAACATTTGCACTAAATGATGAATGGGAGAGATAGCACTGTATTTACATATAATATTAAGCCATTGCATATGTTAAGTGGGAAAGATTAAATAACCTTGCTGTCTAGCTACCTAGTCTTTTAAAGCTGAGGTTACCTGTGTATATCGATTTCATGTTATAAATAGAATCCTCCTTAAATTATAGGAATTGTCTTTCTGGATGAAGTAGATAAGATTGGCAGTGTGCCAGGCATTCATCAGTTACGGGATGTAGGTGGAGAAGGCGTTCAGCAAGTAAGCAGTTGAATATTTTGTTCAAGCACACTAAAAGGAAGGGAATACATCAACCTCTCAAATATTGTACGTTTGGTTTCACATTCAATTAGATTCTGTTTTGTTTATTTCTCCCACCCAAATGCCACATGCCATTTTAAAATAGTTCAGATTCTAAGAGAAAGCTATAGATGATTTTAAATACCAAATTATCTTTCTTAGAAAATTTAAAAGATTTTAAAGAACAGAAAAATGAAATTTAACTCCTGTTTTATTCCTTAAAGGCCCAGTTAAGCATTTCTAGAGGACTCTTGAATAAAGTTCTGGTTCTAACTAGATATAAATGAATTATGTACATGTATCTTACTCTTTTCATTTAGTTAGAAGGTAGGATAAAATAGATTGTTTATCATTCCTTGTAGACTCATAATTGAAGTTATAATGATCTTTGACTTTTGAACTTTTACTGGTAACTTAATTATGACCTAAACCACAAGGTAAAGAAAATTGCTTTTATTTTGACCAGAGCATGGGGTGGTCTGATTACGTTGAGAAAATTTTTTTTATTAAGGCGTCTCGAAGTATTTTCAAGGTTTAACATCAAGAATAGAATAGACTTTTAATTCATATGAAAAACCATCAATTATTTTCAAATTTTTAATATTCCCATCATGGTTGGTTGCCATTGTATAGAGTCATAATTCTATCTTTATGACAGGATTATGCCTTGACCATAAAAAATAGTCTTTCAGGTTGACTGCTTCCTGACTATCAGGAGTCCTATAACTATTCTAAATAAATTTATGAATTATTAATGTGCTAGAACATTAGTTCTAGCTATGTTAGTTGTAGAAATGTGGGAGTTTTCTTTAGTTATGCTCATTGTCCATAACCACATATTAATTTTCCCCATTGAAACCCATTATCTAAAGCATAATAAATAATACACTTATATGGTGATGCTATAAATCATTCATTCTTTATTTAGGGCTTATTGAAACTACTAGAGGGCACAGTAGTCAATGTTCCAGAAAAGAATTCCCGCAAGCTACGTGGAGAAACAGTACAAGTTGATACAACAAATGTCCTGTTTGTTGCATCTGGTGCTTTTAATGGTTTAGACAGAATCATCAGCAGGAGGAAGAATGAAAAGGTACGTTTTTCTGAGGGGTCACTAGAACAGAGAGCATTTGAAGTTACAAAGGATGGACACTTAGTTTCTAGCTGTCTATCTGCTGGCTACCAGTTACAGGTATTTAAGAGTTAGGTTTTCTTAGAGTATTCCAGAAATATATATATTCCTTTTTTTTTTTTTAATTTCAGAGTAGTAACTTGGAAGATTTCTAAAAGTTATCTACATATGAGTATTTTCTTAATGATTTCAATTTTATATTTCATCTGAGGAGTTCTCTTATTATTTGAGGTGTCTGCTGTATCAGTAAAATTTCTGTTCATTCCTCTTGCCCAATTTACTGGAGCCCAGTAAAGAGCCTGTCTTCATTGCCTGCACCCATGAGAGTCTCAGGGATCACTTGCTGACTTCACAAAGGAAGGGAAGCAGTTTTGGGAGTTGGGAGTTAGGTAAAGGCTTACTCTTCAGGTTTGAATCTCCAGTGTTTTATCATAATGCTTAGTAAGTATTTATATGTATATATATTTATTATTATATATGTTTATATATATATACTAAGTGCTTAGTAAATGTTCAAATTACTAAGTAGAACACATTTTGTTTTCTGATACACTAATTGTCTATGTACACAGCTTAGAGACTCTGAGGAATGGATTTTTAACTTGGGCTATTTTCTCATGTATCATGTACTTTTGACAAAAGCTCTATGACATATCAAAATTAAACTTTCTGACAGTTGCCTGGAGTATAGTTCTTTGATACTGAGAGAAGCAAGATCCATACACCTGATACCCAACCTTTGCTGCAAAGTTAGCATTCTTTGTGGTCATTCTCATATATTACAAAAGATGATAAATATCTGTTAGTCTAACTCAGGGTGATGTATGCAACCCCAATCATGAATTTAATAAAATGCTTAAGATATCTGTGGATAATTTCCTTATAAGGCTGCTTATTCCATAGGCATTTACTCCTATTTACAATACACAAAATTAGTTTTGGTTATAAAATAATTACTTTCTCCATTTTCAGTTATTACACAATTTTGGAAGCAACACTAGTCTAGAGGTCTCAGAAAAACCTTGCAATATCATTAGCTAAGTTCTGAGGGACTCCCCTTCATAGTTCTTACTTACCTACTTTTACTAGGATTCATTCTTTGCGAGTTGGTTATTATATAGTGGTTAGATTCCCAATTCTGAAAGCAGATCCACCTGCGTTCGAATTGTAGCATTACCGCCTACAGCAAAGAGAGCTTAGTCAACATACTTAACCTTTCTAAGGTTTTTCTCATTTGTAAAATGAATGATAATAGAACTTCTTCTGTTGCAGAGGCCACATGAGCTATATGCATGTAGTAAAGTACTTAGTACAATGTAGAGTCATTCTACTGTTCTTAATATCTGTCTTGTCTTTGGCAGTATCTTGGGTTTGGAACGCCATCTAATCTTGGAAAAGGCAGAAGGGCTGCAGCTGCTGCAGACCTTGCCAACAGAAGTGGAGAATCAAATACCCACCAAGACATTGAAGAAAAAGATCGATTATTACGTCATGTAGAAGCCAGAGATCTCATTGAATTTGGCATGATTCCTGAGTTTGTGGGACGGTTGCCTGTCGTAGTTCCTTTGCATAGCCTAGATGAGAAAACACTTGTACAAATACTCACTGAGCCACGTAATGCTGTCATTCCTCAGTACCAGGCCTTATTCAGCATGGATAAGGTTAGATTTTTATTTTAAATAGTTACATTATGGGTTTTTTTGCTATGGAAATTCTGCATAAATTAGCCTAACAAATTAAAAAGCAATCTGCTTATCTGGAATACCAGCCTAGTCCTCACTATGAATCTAGGTTTCAGAGAAAGCATTGTGTTACCTTAGACATTTAGGAGCTAGCTTTATTTTTTTCTTAATTATCACTGTAACCTGAAACCTGAGGAGGTACATGGAGAGCAACTATGCCAGCAGCCTACTCCTAACCCCTCAAGTGAGACATACAGGATTGGCCTTTCAGCCTTGATACTCTAATGCTTGTTGTGACATACTATGTATACTTTTACATTCTTTTGTCTAAAGTTTTATTAGCTCTCATATCTGATTGTCTGCAGCCAGACACTTAGAGGTAAAACTGAAACTCACACATCCAATCACATAGCAATGTTTTGGGTTTTATGAACTTAGTAACTCTAAATGTCAGTCTCCTCTCTATGGCCACCACCACTACAAGTCAAGCTCCTTCATTCTTCACCTTGACTCATGCATTCGATTCTTTATTGGTCTCCCTGTTTGAAATCTGTCTCTGACCACTACCACCCAAATATCATTATCTTCCACTTTACTTCCAGAGTGGGTTATTTTTGAATTACTGAACACAGTGCCCAGCTAAATATTTATTGAATGAATAAACACAAAAAGAATTACTCCCCTCCTTAAATTCTTCACTGGTCCCCTAGCCTAATTTAGATTCGCCCACTTTGGTATTCCCTTAGCGCCATATAATACACTATACTGTAAATGCTAGTTTGCTAATTTGTCACCACCCAATAGACAAAGTTCCTTCAGAGTAAAGATGGTGTCTAATTCATCATTCAGTCCCTAATAGATAAACATGCATAGGCTCAGTAAAAGTTGAATAAATCTAGGAAACCTCTTCAGCAACAAAGGAAAAATTTATGATTCATAACACTGATGCCTTTTCATATGCAAATTGATAGAAATAAGTGCTTCAAGTTGCTTTAAGCACCATGAGAGATAATTACCTCACTTGATTTTACACATTCTGGAGGTAGAAATTAATAACCAAAGTTGTTTAATACCAAGATCTTGTGAATTCTGATGTTCCAAAGTATTTTAATGGTTTTCTTTTTTTGGTATACTAAATTCTCAGTAATTTAAACTACTTTGAAATTTGTGGTAATTTAGATTTGCCTTCTGTAGGATGACAGGGTTAGTAGAACTCTTTAAAATAGATGTTTTCTAGGAAAAAAGTGATAATCTAAAAATGTTTTAATCTGAAAGGGGATAGGGTCAATCAAGACATAAAGATTCTGACCCTGTGTTTCTAAGTATTAATGAATCAGTATACTTAACCCTTTGGAACTTATTTCTTTATCTCTAAAGTCAGGGCATTTGTTCCCTTTTTATTCTAAAAAGACCAGTAGGAGTGATAGGTAGTATAATTAATAGATTAATGCTATATGTTTATATTAGGAAAATATCCAGTATTATCTAAGTTCTTTCTTTTTTTTTTTTAATATATTTATAGTGTGAACTGAATGTTACTGAAGATGCTTTGAAAGCTATAGCTAGATTGGCACTAGAACGAAAAACAGGTGCACGAGGCCTTCGTTCCATAATGGTAAGTTGGCATTATTATATAAAGCTAGATTATTTCTTGGTCTGGGTTTTGAGAACATTAAGTAAGTCTCCTTTGGAAGTATATCCTAAGAATTGGCCTATGTGTTTTTGGGTTTTTTTTTTTTTTTTGGTGAAATAGATTATATTTTTCTTCTTTATAAAAAGGAACTTTAAGATGTTTGCAACAAAGGATACACACATACTATGATTAATGAAATAAGAGAAAATCAAGGCCATGGGAAGGAGAATTTAAGAAATTCTTTATGGCCTTTTGCCCACACCACAGACTCCCTCCTCAGACCCATGGAAATCCTCATTCTTGTTTGTTTGAAATTAAATTTCTGAAATTAAATATCTGAAATTAAATTTCAGATACCAACGATATTTTACTCCTAAATTCTTCAGTATGGTATAAATTCACTATTTTTTATTTTGTTACAAATCCTAGGGACCCAGCCTATTTCCACTACTCACTCTGTTTGCTCCCCTACCCTGCAGATCTGGCTGTACAGTAGATTA